CATTATTTTTTAACCAGATTGACTTTGACAGTTTAGCTGACAGATGATAGGACATCGAAGATGAGGTTCTCGATTTAATTAATTATTATCAAATCTTATAATATATTTGTTTATTTGGCATAACATCTCGGCATGATCTTTATTAGTTTACTTTATTTAATTTACTTAAAATTTATGCTACCTTCTTCGTAAAAATAAATAATACCTGAGTTACAGAGCTTATCCCTACCCTAAAAATTAACATAAATTAATGTTAATTTTATCATATAAAAAAACAAATTCGGTTTATTATTTCCAATAATGAACCATTGTAGTAGAACAAAAAATTCAAAAAATTAACACCCTCTCAAAATTTGAGGTTTTACGTTCCAGGATGCGTATAATACGAAAAACGAATAAAATTATTTTTTCTCCGAAACTACTGGATCGATTTTTTTCAAATTTGGATTTATAATCAAAGATCACCCGAGGACGATCCTCTTACATCTGATATTACTATCCGTCTTTTCCTTTCAAGATAGCAGTCGAAAATCCTGCGTTGCTATAGACTGTAGCGCCTAAGCGAATTCACCGATTTCAATGAAACTTGACTTAAAATCTTCTTCTCGATGCCCTTTAATTTTATCTATATTACTTATTTCAACGAAAAGAAGCTGGAAAAAAGTTACGAGGGACGGTAAAATTAGATTTAAAAAACTCAAAGAGTATTGTTTTGTGGATATTTTTATGATTAGTTAAAATATGAAATTTCCTAAAACAAAATCGGACAATTAGGAGCAAAAATATGGTCTATGGTATCTAGATGTTTTTTATATGTTCTACTAAAAAAGTTAGATCCTTTATATTGTTTTTGGTTTTTGAATGTGTCACTGAAGTAAAGTTATTTTTTTTAGCTAATTACTTATGATGAAGAAAAAAATGTTTAGGCCAATAAATGGGATCACTTTTTATTTCATTTTCTTTGTCACTAGGAAGGTAATATTACTTTAGATTTTTAATTGTTTGGAAATAATTGAAATCATTTGCAGCGGTTTTTTTTTCTATATTTTGGGACTAGGAAACAGAAATAGAACAGAACCAGAGACGGATGACGGATCATTTGTATGTTTGTTTTTTTAACTCTCTGGAAGTCTTCCAGTAGATCTCCTTTTGTTTCTGACATAAAAGACTCACGCAACTGTTCGCTGACAACTCAGTAAACATTGAACTTCCCTCCCATAAATAAGCAGGCTGGTCACTGGACTTGGATTATTTGGAGTGTTTCTTCAACAAGCTAGAAAAGACAATGTGGAATTAGTCCACCATATTCATTAATGTTTAGAGGAAATCCCGTTGACAACTACGATAGTTGCCTTCATTCAGATATAAGTTTAACCTGAAGCAGCTCTCGCTATTTTCTTCTTATGGGACATTGTTGGTGCAATCATTATAGGTTATTTCTTTTTTCCTACGGAACATAAAAGCTGTGAAACAATGGAATAAAATTTTCGATCGGACTAGAGATAAAAGCATACAAAACCATGATACTACCTACATAGTCCGTGGTACAGACCCCTTTTTATCGAATTATTAACATCAGCCTGAAACTCCGTAAATAGTTTCATCTCATCGTAACCTACAACTATTTTATTTACGAAAACTCTAGGAATTGGGACGTTTTCAATCTGGAGGTCGACAAACTTTATCTATTTAATTAGGTACTAAAAACTTGTAAATACCCATTTGCTTACTTAGTTGTTTGTTACGATGAGATGAAACTAATTACGAAGTCTCTTCCCTTCAGTATGAAATTGGCTGGATTCGTGAGAAGTCAACTGCAATCATACATATTTTTTACCTTTTTTGTTTTTTGTTTTTTGTTTCTGCATATACGTTATCTAGTTTTTTCTGCCATGATGATACCTGAATTTGCGGAATGTTGGGAAGTTTACTATTCATCTCATGGTTTTAGTTTGATTTTTTCTATTTATAACATAATTATAATTTGTTTGAAACTATGTTAAAAAAATATGACTTTATCTCGACTTTTTAAAAATGTTAGATGCCTTTGATATGGAGCCATTCAAGTATATTATCGATTATTTTCGGAGAAAACCCTATAAAAAATTCTCCAAATCTATAAGATAGCTTTGGGGTGTGTACGAAATGCAGAAGTTTGAACAAACGCGTTAACTATTTTTTTTGTCTTTTATAGATAGCGAACACGCCAGTTTGTTATCGTTTGTTTCCGCTAAGACTTGTGATAACATTGTTCTAATTTTAGATCGACCGCAAGTTTTTATTTTATATCGAGTTTCGCTCTGGAGGAAGGTCGTGTTTTATGCTATCATTTTATCTTCCAGTATAAAATGATTGATAGACCCAAATGTTTTTTCTTTTGTGGTTTTATGTACAATTTCACAACACGTTACGAAACGGGAATAGTTCAATAAAACGATAAACGTTTATGACTGACGGCTGATCTTATCTTTGTGTAATGATTTGCATTTCAGATTGCTTGGTGCGGAGAGGTATTAGAAATTTATTTATAATGACTAAGTAGAATTTGTTTATGAATAAGTAAAACCTGCTGTCCTCTCTCCGCACTACCCGTCAGACATCATTATCAGAAATCTATTTCCTAAGACAAAGCTGCCATCTGGTGGGGCAGTTTCTGCTCTAGATTTCCTAGATATGTAATCCATTGGTTATATATCTCAGCTATTGCCGGATATGGTACCGCTGCTAGCCTCAGATGATATTGCTAATTAGAGTTTAAAGAATTATAAATATATTGCTTTTTTTTTTTTTTGTATTACTGATTATGCGAAAGGCCAAGATTGATAAGAAAAGATCTAAACCACACTTTCTGTTAAAATTATACTTACAGTCTTTTGCAGGGAAAACTTAAATATATAAGTCCTTACAGCTACGAACCCAATTCCCCCAACTAGTGTTGCCTAATCTTAGTTACTATGTGTTAATAATTGGTATAAACAATATACTTTTGCATTTAACTCCTCTAATTTTTCATTCGGGCTTACTTAGGTTCCTCCTATCTAAAAAATAACAGTAATATCTCATAAGTAACTGCAAGGCTGTTGTAAGTTTCTTGCGCAAGACCAAGACCATGACCAAGACTGAGTTTGCAGAAAAAAGACTCGTCTCGGTCTCGCACTACTCCCAACATTAATAGAGCTGAGACACATGGTCTAATTTCATATCCATCTACTGTCTTCTTATTGTTTATAGCGTATTACAACCTCATTAAATAAGAGTTTCCCTGGTTTGAAGAATTAGTAAATTTAATTTTGTTACCTTATTTAAACTTTTTTAAATTGACCATATTACTGGATGGAATTTATTTACGACAGATTTGAGAAGAGGGGAGGGGAGTCTGTTTCTGACCCTATCCCATCCCATCCCCCAATAGTTTATGAATTGGGCCCCCACGTCGCTTGTGTTACACGATTTACAATCTGCATATTTCAAAGTCATTCTCTGTGTATAGTATTTCTACTCCATATATAAAAACTGATGATTGGACTACTCTTCTATGAATGACATTCTAGAATCACTTTCCTCCTATGTAATACTGTCATGTTGTATGCATACTGTCAGTGCCGGCGCATATGAGAATACTTGTTTATCATCCTTGTAATGATTTGTTATCGTATGAAGTACATGATGTCAGTGCTATAAAAAAATATACTGAACTAGTTAACCCGAGAGAATAATTCGCATAATATATTGGTCTGTGCACAAATGTTAAAAAATTAATGCAATGTATTGTGAGATGAAGGAATTAACTTTATTTTTCCGGTCGAATTACAATAGTTCATTCATAATAATAAACCAAAATGTGTGTACAATAACTAAGGCTGTATTTTTGCTTATAATGACATTCGATAATTTTATTTTTGTTTTTTACGGAATTTAGTAACCTTTTAAATAATCTTGGATGTATCAGGGCTCGGGAAAGTTAAAAAAATATAAACTTTTCTCACATTTTTCGCAATGGATTTCCCGTTTCGATCCTCAAATTACTGGCCTAATAGTCTTACAGTCTCATAGTCAGTCACCGTTTTTCAAATCAGCGGCTCTGGAACGGTCTTTTTACTCCGAAGAACATACACATTTGTAATTTGCAATCAAACCTTCGCCTGCGATGAGGTTGATTTTTGGTACAGGGCTGTCCACCCAACTCCCTCGGGCCATAGTTTGTGATGAAAATAAAATATTTTTCTATAAATGAATTTTCCATGCAATAAATGTTGTAATAACATCGTGTGTAAATAACTTAAATTTCTAAATTTTAAATAGTTTTTAAAGCTTTACCATGTAATCAATTCGGACCGAAGAAGGATGAATTAACCATAGAATTCAGACGGTTACACAACGCCGAATTGCGTGAACTATATCCGAGTAATATAATTGAGGTGGTGTCATCCCGGCGTATTAAATGGGCCTGTAAAATTGTTGGGCTTAGTAACGAGAGAATTCCTAAAAGGCTAGTATTTGCTGTACCGAATGGTAAACGGGACGCAGTTTGGAGACCCTTGGTTAAGATCATAGATCGATTCTTGTCATCTGATTGTACTTATAGCTGACCTATTTTTTGTTTTTTTTTAATTAATGATTTAATTTATTTTTTTAATTTAATAAATATGTTTTTATAATCAATTTTAAGTAATCAATTAATTACTGCTATTTTAGGATCGATTTAGCTGGGAAAAAATCAAAAGGTCAGGTATTAATTCGTTTTTTAGTGGAACATAAATTCAGTTAATTTTTTTTCCACTTTAGGAGATTCGACCTCGTGCCTTCGCTGAAGTATGCGACCCATTGGCATATCATATAGGGCAAAAATCTCTTTGGAATTCGTCGAAAATTATTTATTGTGTAAGTGGCAACTTGGCTGTATTTCATATTTCCATAATGATATCGAATTCTCGCTCTTAAGCCCTTTTTTTTGCGCGGAGCGGACAGGATCGGATATTATGATAAATACTTCGTGATAAATGGTTGACCGGACGGGAATGGACCATCTGTCACAACCTGTCGACGTGTCTCCTAACCTAATTGACTAAATCGTACTTCATCTGTCGGAATGCAACGCTCGCTTAGCGTAGGTTTTACTGTCATTTCAGACGTTTTTAGGGTATTACAATAAGTCTAGATATGGTTTGATTGCGTGGGCATTCCACAATGTGGACTTCGTTTGGTTTCGAATTCCAAACATTGCAATTTCGAGTATTTTTTACCAACAACGTACTCCAAAATGGAACCACAACTATGTAAAAATTCGAAATCACTAGCTTGCTACAAAAGTTCCAATTGTCATAATTAATCCTATAAGAATGTTTTTGTTTCTACTATTTATTATATATCAATGTTTACATAGACTAACCGTTTAATTCTGCGTAACTTGAGTTGGCTTAATGTAGTCTTTTATATTTTTAAAACGCACCTGAAAATTCAGAAGAAAATTCATGATTTGCAGTAGTTTGAGATATTACTGGGAAAAAAAATCTATGCGCAAAGACAGCTCCCCAAGGAATTTGTCCCGTTGAAGTTTCAGTTATCCATCGAAATACTCGGAATTTGGTTTAAGCATTTCTACAATATGAGCCGGTTGCCAAATATATTTTGCATTTTGAACTTGTTCCTGATGGTCAAGCAGTGGACTCAAAGTTAATTGTTCATTGACCAGGCAGAGTTTATGGTGTTTTGAGTGCCAAGTACTCCGCTTTGGTCAACAGGAACCAAGGTTTTAATGTAAATGTTTTTCCTTTTCCTGCGTATGATCCATATATTGCACCATTTATGTCTTTTTTTTTAGATCAATGGCTCATTTTTTAAAACGTCGGATATTTGATAATTGCGAGGACATAAAAATTGGATATGAAGAGATCTTTGCCTCAAATGATGATTGGTCAAGTGATTGATGATGATTGATCATAAGAGTAACGGCATTAAATCAAATTACTGGCAGAAAGATGGGTGATAGTAGAGATGGGGAACAGCTACTGTGAGTACGGAGTACCAAGTATTTTACTCAAATTGAATCACTATTGGGAATTCAATCACTACTGCAGTTAATCGTTTGACATCAAATGAAGTAGTAATTAAATTCTTTGGTAGTCAAAAAAGATTAGTATTTGAATAAAATACTTGGCACTCAGTACTCGGAGTAGCATTTTCCCATTTCTGGATGGAACTAGGGGAAAACAATGGAATTTCTGTTGAGTCATTTATATTTTATCCTTTTTTTAATTTCTATCCTTTATTTATTTTATTCTATTAATTCTTTTTTTAAATTTATTTATTTATTTTATATAACCAACCACTTGAACAGTATAAAAGTAGTGTTATTTAGTTGATCGGGCGCTGATGACCTGGAGGTTTTGCGCCTAGACATCGAAACAAACAAACAAACAATGGAAATTACTTTAAAGAATAACATTCACTAATGTTTAAAATATCAAATAAAGTTATTCTTATGTACAAGGACTTATACCTAACAACCTAGTGATTATACCTGGGAAAAAAGTAGTTTGATTATTATTTTAAAAACTAAGTATTTGTAGTTTTTAAAATATAGCCTATTTTAATTTAATAGCTTTTAAATTATTTTCAGTAAAAGTATTTCAAATACAAAATACTAAAAATATTTTAATTACAAAGTTTCCGTCGTTCTATTTTAATGTTATCATCATATTTACTAATTCCTCAATTAGACAATGCATCTCTAGTTTACCAATGAAAGGAAATACCCGAAATATTTACAACTCTAAATACAACGCCAAATCGATTTATGTTTTCCTTTACTCTTGGCACATACCCATAATTTTTCCTTCGTTTATCATATTATCCGATATAATCGTCCTTGTCGTCCTTTCAAACTTATTTAATTCACATCAGCTATCGTGTTTCTGGTTTCGATATATTTTGCTACATTTCTTTTTTTTTTTTTATTTCCTTATTGTTTTTATTATTATTTTTTTTTTTTTTGGAGTTCCATCATAATTATCTTTACATTTTAGTTTTTTAAAAATATCTCGTTCTCTTATTCATCTTCGATTCACGCTTCCTTTATTTATATTTTTTAAATCCACACTTTTTATTTACTCCTACAAAAACTGAAATTCACTAAATCACACAGTTTCCAAATAAATAAATTAAAATAAATTTATTATGTTTTAATTATTTCAATTGATTTAAAAATATTTTATTTTATTGATCTTGAGGAGTGGAACTCTATTCAGAATAACATCAAGACACAACTGGCCGTAGGAATTGGAATCGCAATGACCTCTGGATGGTTGCCAGTTTAAGGAGTTACCTAGAACTAATCAAGAAGGTTTGGAAGAAAAAGACGTTTGTACGCCTTTGCCTCTGCTTCATGAAAGTTATCTGCTATATCCAGCTATCTCCCTGCTTTCTGTATCAATATATTTCACGATACCTGCCAAACTAATTATCATAATATTTATTATGTAGCAAGATACTTATTTATAATAAATAAAATATAATAAAAATAATTTAAGAATTTGAACGTTTTAAGGAGATCATTTATACCTGTTAAACGAGCAGTCCATGAGGAGTTATGGCTCTTCTTGTATACTATTCGACTGTGCTATTCCACACACACTTCCATATTGTACCACAGCTGGATCTACGGGGAGGAGAGGAGGCTTTCGGACTCTATCCCTCTCCTCCCCAAAATGGTCAAATATTACCATGTTGTAACGAAAAATATTTTTAAAAATCTCTAAAAGTATTATTGTTCGTGTAATTACATTTAACAGGACTTCAAGAATCACTTAAACACCATTTCGTATAGGTAGTTAGTTTTTTTTTTTTTTTCTTCCAAAGTAATTATCGTTATATTAAAAAAAACAGCTTTTGGACTGAAGCCCCCACATCCCCCTCCCCCCCAAAAAATAAAAATTTCTGTTCATTTATCCTAAAGTTGGTGCTTGAGGTTTTGTTTTTTACATAAATTAGGCCATTATTCACCAACATTTTATTTATAAGCTATTAATTACGACGTTTCGACCATACTAAGGGCCATTTTCAAGTCTGGAAAATGGTAATACCATTATTAGTTAACATTTAACATTTACACAAAGAATTTTTTTTTTTTTTTTTATTACACATATCTTATCTAACGATCTATGTCATAATATTTTCAATTCACATAAATTTATAAAAATCTATGCAATAAAAGTGTACACTTTTTCTTATAAAAACCTTACATGTACGTAATTTTACTCATTAAAAACAATTGAATATTACCTTAATGAGTTCTTCATTAGATATTCATTATTAATGTCGCATCAATTTGTTCAGTGAAAATTAAATTGTCCTGCTATCACTTTCACTGTACAAATTAATGCGACATTAATAATGAATATCTAATGGAGGACTCATTAAGGTAATATTCAATTGTTTTTAATGAGTAAAGTTACGTACATGTAAGGTTTTTATAAGAAAAAGTGTATACTTTTATTGTATAGATTTGTATAAATCTATGTGTATTGAACATGTTATGACATAGATCGTTATATAAGTTAATTATCTGTAATAAAAAAAAAAGAAAATTCTTTGTGTAAATGTTAACTAATAATGATATTACAATTTTAAAGACTTGAAAATGGCCCTTAGTATGGTCGAAACGTCGTAATTAATAGCTTATAAATAAAATTTTGGTGAATATTGGCCTAATTTATGTAAACAAATCTTTAATCCGCTAGTGTATCGCACGGTAATGTTGAATTCTTCCACATGTTTCACATCCTTCACACTTGTATATACTTCCATATGTCTGCTTTCATCGTGGCTTTATAACTTCCCGTCACTTTTACTATTTTTTTTAAGTTTTATTGAGTTATGGTGAAAAGTAAAACAAAAACTGATTAATTAATAATTTTAATCAATTGAAGAATAAATTAATTTAATACGTAATTCGAGTGTTTAGGTATTATGCGGACTCCACCCCACAATTTTTACATTTTTATTAGATATGAACTTGTTTAATTATTATGAAACATAAGTAATATTGATATATCTAGTCGTGTTTCGTGTGAATTATCAGTGGTCAGTTTGACAATATGTAATTTTACTGATGTCTCGTTGTTGTTAATCCAATTTATTTTACACGTGTGTGCTCCAAGAATGATTAAAGCTTCTTTAATTGGCTATATTCTATTTTCCTCTAGATCGTTTCTCTTATATTTTACATTTTATTGAATATTTAATAGTTGACCATTGCATTATAAAGGAAGGAGTTGGTCCGGGGTGGTGGTAATAATTAGGATAAATAGTGGCAAAACTATTTTATTAAAAGCCAACAATAAAAGTTTCGACCCGACTTTGCAGGTCCTTTTCAGGGAGGTGTTTTCAGCTAGGAGTTTCACTTCGAAGTTCCTTAGATCTCTTTCCTTTATTTTACATTTTATATTGGATTTTTTAATCGCTGCACTCTAACTGTATAAGCTAAACTGAACGCCTTGCTTTCAGATCACGGGAGTTGATCAAAGCTGCCATATTAGACAACGACTTCATGAAGAACCTCGAAATGACGCAGATCCGGGAGATCGTGGATTGCATGTACCCGGTGGAGTACGCAGCAGGTAGCCTCATCATAAAGGAGGGGGATGTCGGCTCCATCGTCTACGTCATGGAAGGTAAGTTGATATTTATCTTTCTCTTTTCTATGATATTGCTTGAAGGTCGAGTTAAACTACAGATGACCATCCTAATCTGTCTATCAATTTTCTCCAGACTGGATTTGAACCTAGAATGCTGAGTACTTTCTCAACATGCCCGACCCCGTTTTATTTATGTTGTCCCCAAAATTTTTGAGGATAATATAAAATATTTGTATTAGCGAAGGATATTAAATAAAATCCGGACTTATATTTGGAAAGTAACCAGACCAAAAGTAATGAAATCGCATAAAAATTCATTTATATAGCTATCGATTTATAAAAGTACTAAAGGAAAGATAATTATTATACACTACTCATAGGATTAGAAGTACACATGATATTTGCTGACATAAAATACCAAAATGGTGACTTGTCGTATTTTTTAAAGAAACATGTTGTTTTTGACAAACCGTTTCTTTGGAACCATTGAACGTAAATAGCTTTCATCAGGGTTCAAATTGAATCTGTTAGAACCAGAGGTGGACAAATGCTACTCTGAATACTTAGTACCAAGTATTTTATTCAAATACTGACTCTTTTTGAGTACCAGAGAATTTAATTACTACTTCAGTTGATTTCAAACGATTAACTGGACTAGTTATTTAATTCCCAATAGTGATTCGATTTGAGTAAAATACTTGGAACTTGGTACTCAGAGTAGCATTCGCCCATCTCTCTTGTTAGAACTCATTATAGAAAAAAATTATTTTCATAGAAGTAGCTGTTGATACTTGATGGTGGACCGTTGTATATTATTGAGTGAGAAGATGGTCCAGAGTGGCTGTAATAAAAAGACTGAAATAGTGAAAAAATATTAGTAGCTGTATGGAGAAGGATTGTTTATGTCCTTATCTGGTTTGAATAAAAATATTTTTTTCACTATTTTAGTCCTTTTATTACCGCCACCCTGGACGACCTCCTTACTCAAAAACTTTTAATTTTGTCTGTCGGTGCGGCGCCTCTTCCAACTTCGGTAGAACGTTTATTAGCATCTGGGTGGTTTATTGTTTCATGTTAATTTGAAACAAATCATTCTCCAATTATTCGATTTTAACACATTTGATGAAAGTGGGATCATTCAATTGATAACATTTTCAAAATCCCCTTCACTTTGAGTTTTCAGACTAACAGATAGGACATCATAACGGTGTATAGCTAAAAGTTTTCTTCAAATGGGGCATAAAATTTCGATCCAGTTCCAGGACAATTACTAGTATGGAGAGGTTTTTACATAGGACATACGAGAAACATCCAAGCTAGTATCTCGGATCTACGCAAACTGCATACAGAGCAATCCAGTGTTGAGGGAAATATTTAAGATAAAGTCGCTACTCGCACTTGCTAGAGGTTTTGGGCGTGTATGAGCCCTCATCTTCCATTGTACAGATTTCAGACAAATGCTCATCCCCAACACCTAAGAAGCTTAGCTGTTTGTACGGTGGATTGTACTTAGAGTTTAAGTACGCGCTCTGCTGAAATTAGGTGATTGTTCAATCTCTCCAAGATTTCATTATTTTTGTTCAGAAAACGAATTAGAGTTCTCAAAAAAAAAAAGAATTATAATGTTATGAATGATTTCTTATATTTTTTTTTTATATGAAAAGATAGAAGTTTCTCGCATATCAAACCTACAAATAGATGTATTTGGTCACTATCTGATAGATGGTCTCGCCTGGAGAGATGAAAACAACTACATTGCAATACATCACGAAGACTTATATTAATCGCTTCCTATCACACTAAAATACAAATCGCTCCTAGTACTGATGTACGCCGTAGTGCAATAGATCATAATGGATTGAGTGGACAAGCGAGCTATGGAGAAACCTTTCAGCTAGGGCTCAGGCCTATTTCGGAACAGCGGTGATATATGCTAACGGCCGCTATTTATAGTTAGGATAGCATCCAGCCCATAAAAAGACTATTCTTCTTTTTATGGGCTGTTTTATTGGCATCATTAGCTCAACAGGATTCGCTTTATAGTTCTTTTATTTTTTTAAGTGAATTGTTGTTGGACTTTTCATAAGTCAAATTCATGAAAGTTTTTCTGTTTTATATAAAAAGTAATTATATATTTCATGGTAGTATAAAGAAGACCCTGGTATCAGACTTTTTTATACACTTGAGCGAAAAATATACTAATTGCATTCAGTTTCTGTTACAATACTCCAACAATACAAACAACTGTAACCCCATGTAATTGGTATGTCGTCGAATGGAATACGAGAAAACAGAACTGATGGTCTGGTATTGTATATTAAGTTTTCAAATACTTTGTAGCATATCGGAAGGAAGCTGATTGGTCTGTAGGATTGTTTGTGTCCTTACCTAGTTTGAGCGTCATTTTAATGAGTAAGTATTTCCACCGCGTACTTATCAGAGTAGGAGTGTCAAGATTTTATCGAGAAACAAATATTAACCGAGCCAGGTGCGAATCGAACTCATAACGTTCAGAACCTTGCACTCGAATCCACGTTAAAATTTTCTATGTAAATCACGGGCGGATCTATGGGGAGGGGAGGCTTTCGGGCTGAAGCCCTCCCCCCCCCCAAAATAGTAAAATATAACCATGTTTTATGGAAATTTTTTTTTAAAAATACCTCTTAAAGTATTATTGTTCGTGTAATTAGATTTCATAGGACTTAAGGAATCACTTAAACACCATTTCATACAGGTAGCTAGTTTATTTCTGTTTTTCCCATGTAATTATGGTTATTTTTATGAAAAAAAAAGCTTTCGGGCTGAAGCCCCCCCCCAAAATTAAATCCTGGATCCGCTAGTGATGTAAATTAAATTGGTTTTGGTTCCTTTCAGGTAGTTAAACCGTAAGACTACGCTGCCAAATAGCGGCTTTTACTATTTCTATGAAATTTCTCTTAATTTTTTCCTTGGTAATAATTTGTAACGATTACAAAATTCATAAAAATCTAAGAGAAAATAACATTTATCATATATAAATACTTGAGGAGCATCTATGCTCGGTTGTTGCAGATTTTCGTGACTTACTTAATCCAGGTGTACGATACGTCTTTATTAACCGCTCACGACATTTATTCAGGGATTGCTTTGAAGTTGAAGTTGTGCACGCCCCCACCTGGTTAACGATTCCTTCACGAAAGGAGAATTACTTGTTACGTTGTTTATTCCGTCGACTTTCTCTACCGGCATTAAAGGATCCATGTGTGGAGGATGTTTCTATATATAAACAGTTACTCATCGTATGATGTAATAATATAGTGTTACAAGTTTATTGAATAATAATACAATTTGCTGCATTGATGGGCAACAAGGGTTAGAAGTGTACATTCAGGCAATATAAAAATAAAACCTGTTTCACTACAACCCATCAAGGGTCTTGGTTTCAGTACTTTGTAAGGAAGTATCGTTTTAAGTTCAACGGTTTTGCCTTGAGGTTTTTCTCCTTAATTAGTTTTTGATATAGGGTAACCGCTTTATAGAGACTGGGTGTGCCTCAGGAGGGTTTCCTGACCCTGGGATCGATCCACAGCTGATGAAACAGAATAAATAATTACCTGCCATCAGCCGAATTAGAACTTGGGACCTTGAGCTTAAGAAGTCACTGTCTTGCCCACTATCCTTCCCCGTTCCCACAGTATGTACATATGAACGGGAAATAAATATAAACAGTTTAAAAAATAAATTCACAGTAAATAATGATATGTGATAATTAAATATATAACTTTTTTCTATTCTAAATCATTTCAACTTTGTTCATATTTCAATTATTATTTATCCACATACGATAACTTTTTTATGAGATATTTCAGGAAGGAAACAAACTTAGACTGTATTCATGTAATGAATAAGTTTGAGATGTTAAATGTTCAAGATATAAGGAACAAATTTAAAATAATAATGAGGATGAAACAAAATTGTCCGGTATTCCAGTCGATATTTATTTTTGGGTTAGCTGACATTTTAACCCAAACATTTGGATCATCTTCAGGACCTTTTGAAGTCGAGACAAGCCGTTCTTGGCTCGACCTCCTAATGATAATCCTGAGGATGAACCACTTGTTTGGTCAACTGATCAGTTGACTACTCACGCATCTCTAAAATAATAATAATTAAAATAAATGATACAGTCAGATGTGATATAAAACTTTTTTCAATTGATAATAAAAAATATATATCAAACCTATAACATAGATATCAGGCCATCCAATATACAACAATGATATAATAATCTAAATAATTAAGTTTATTAGAATAATAAAAAATAATGATGGCGTTCATAAATTTAGGTTTAGTAGTATAAAATACTATTTCTACTTTAACTACTATTAAAAATGTTAATAAAATAATATATTAATTTATATGTCTTTACGTCTATACATCCTGCATCATTAATAAAAACAGTAAGGTTTGCTATTAAAAATAAATTTGAAACCATCTCGTTATCTAATGTAATTTCTTTGTTTTCCGAAACTTTTTATAGTGTTGTAATAAATTTATTTATAAATTCTTAATTAATTAGTATTATTATTGGTTTTATAAGTTAAATATATTTAAAATGATAGTATCTCAATCAGTTTTATATTATACTTATCTGTCTTACCAATCATAAAACATTGTACGAGTAATATGTTTTAACTGAATGTCTGCCACTCTGATCAAACATCTTGATGAAATTTCTATATAAATTTAACTATAGAAATTCTTAAAATGTTTAAAACACATTCAAGTAACCCTCTGAATACAAACAAAGCCAACAATGCCCTCTACATTTTAATTTGCTGCTGGAACAGATTATTATTCCTGGTGGTTTTGGTTGTTGAAAGTAGAATAGATAACTAATTCCTGCTTACTAAAATATTCGGACTTGAAGAGGAAAATTATATGACTAATGTATTTGTGTTTTCTGCATGAAATCAATATTTACTATATTTTTGTTCTTAAGCCGAATTATATTAGATCTTTTAATAATTTATCTAGTATATTCTATAAGCTTTGAT